CACTGACCACCCTGAACCCCAGAGAAAGTGGCACTGGGGATGGGACACTGCCCTCACTGACCCTGAACCCCAGAGAAAGTGGCACTGGGGATGGGGCCCTGCCCTCACTGACCACCCTGAACCCCAGAGAAAGTGGCACTCACTGGGGATGGGGCAGTGCCCTCACTGACCCTGAAACCCAGAGAAAGTGGCACTGGGGATGGGGCACTGCCCTCACTGACCACCCTGACCCCCAGAGAAAAAAGCACAAAACAAAACCTTGCATTTGTTTTTTTTTTTTGTTAATTAGTTTTTGCAAGTTTTCACGAATTATCATACAGCGTTTATTTAATAATAATTGTTTCATATTGAATATTTGGGTGTTTGTTTCTCTGTGTGATACCAACAATCTCTTCCCAATGTTTTCCTCTCCCTAGATAACATAGCAGCTGAGCTGGAAGCAAACCTTGGCTTGATAGAAGAAATCTCAGGTTACCTAAAAATCCGCCGCTCTTATGCCTTGGTTTCTCTTTCTTTTTTTCGGAAACTCCACCTGATTAGAGGAGAGACACTYGAAGCTGGGTGAGTTCTCTCAGAAGATGCTTTATTTGGAGCTTTGAAGTACAAGGAGTGCCAGTTCTGTGGGGTGATTTGTATCAGGAAACAATTCCTGAGTTATTTTTAAATGTTTTTCCTACCCGTGGCTTGTGCCCTACAACAAAAACAATTTACATTCATTTTTCTTTGGTGTCTGGGGTAGTGCAAAATGAGTTTTCCCCTCCCAAACCATGTTTTCATTCTTCTGCTTTCAGGAATTACTCATTTTATGCCTTGGACAACCAGAACCTTCGCCAGCTCTGGGACTGGAGCAAACACAACCTGACCATTGCACGAGGCAAACTCTTCTTCCATTACAACCCCAAGCTGTGCTTGTCAGAAATCCACAAGATGGAAGAGATTTCGGGCACCAAGGGGAGACAGGAGAGGAACGACATCGCCCTGAAGACCAACGGGGACCAAGCCTCGTGTAAGAACCTCAGAACTCAGCCTTGCTTCATCTCCTCACACTCCTCTTTCTCCCATGATGTTTTTCCATGGCCTGTCCTTGTTCTTGTTGTCATTTTCAGATTTGGTGGAACACCAGATTTGYCCCCTGTGCCCTCTGTCACTGTGCCACCAGTAAAACTCCCCACAGCATCTCCCACTCCCTGCCTTGCCTTGATCCCACAAAACCCTGGGAGATTTTGGGGCTGGGAGTGTATTCTTTGTATCTTTTTGAAGAGTTAAGCATGAGGTAACCTCGTGCTCTGCTCAGCCCGCAGGGATTCACCTCACAAGGGACAGCAGTAGGTGGACAAGGGCTTCTCCTGATACCTCAGGATTTTCAGTTTCTATATTTCCATGTATCTGTATTTTTGTACTTCTCCAGTGYACAGCRCTAAAGMTCCTGTTCTCACATCTTTAGACAAAACAATTCCTCTCTGAGCCTGAATCCAAGGACAMTTYRCTGCCTSAGAGCCYCAAAATATGGAAAYAACAGAGAATTGGGGGGAGCARTTTGGGGTGGGTGACATCATCASCTGAAGGTGTCAKTGGGGAATTGGGGCCCGATGTGTTCATGAGACAGAACTGATAAAAGGGGAAGATCTCRTGACTCGGGGTCCATTTTGGGTGCAGCCCCAGGAGGAGGCTTTGTCTGCCCTCAATGCACCAGCAGGYCTGGATTAAATTTATCCGCTTTATTCTCTTCACTTTTCTGGCCTCTGTTCCAGGTGAGCCTTGTTTTAGGCATCACTCCCAACCCAAAATACTCTGTGAAGCACAGATTGCATGGGGACAGGGGCAGTTATCCATCCATGCAGCTGTGCTGTGATCCTGGGACATCCTTAGGCAGGAACTGCCACCAAAAAGCCCAGCTTTAACTAAACTGGGATTTCAGACCTTGGCTCCCAGCCTTCAGGGCAGCTGGGGTCACCCTGTGGCTAAAAGAGCCCCAAAGGTCCCTTYCCACCCAAACCACGCCGTGGTTCTGCCATCCCCCAGTCCTGCCCTCGGTGCCCTGGTGCAGTCAGTGGTGAACAGAACTAAAAAGTGAAAATCTTTCAGCTGACTCCATTTCCTGGTCTGGTTTCCCACACATCAACACTGCAGCCTGGCCAGCCCGTGGGGAGAAGGGGATGGGATGGCTGTGAGCTAAAAGCTGGCAGCAGCAGTGACAAACACAC